CGCCGCCGCGCCAGCAGGTCCTAATGCCTGTCACTTCCCAGGACGCTGGCAGCGGCAGCCCGGAGCCCCCGAGCCCTGGGCAGGTTTGCCTGTCTTTCCCCGCGATCTGATTGGATAAAGTGGGGGCTCGACGGTGGCCGACGTGGGACAGTCTGGCTGTGGCAGGGGTCTCGGAAACCATGGGTTATTGCAGTGGCAGGTGCACGCTTATCTTTATCTGTGGCATGCAACTGGTAAGTGACACTTGGGTCCTCTTCTTCTGTAATGTGCCTTTGAGATAGTGGGCAGTGGAGTGCAGTAAAGGTTCTGCCATTGATTAGAATGGAAGAAAAAATAAAAGAAAGAAGGTGACAGATATATTGCCTGTATTTAAAATGATTTCAGGGAGGCGCACTGTGGGGTACGAGAGGTGAGCATTTCCACCTCCACCTATTCCTGTTCCTCTGAAGTCAGTTTGGCTGGTGTGGGTTAAACTTGTCTTTAATTTCTTTAAGCAAAGCAACATTTAGTTCTTGTTTGTTTATGCGTTGCATTCCTGTTAATGTAACAACGTGATTGTCACATACAATTTACTATACAGGTGTTAAACAGAAATATGGAATTGTGACTTTTCTTCTATGCACTAATTTTGCAGTATCTTTGTTTCTTCATTGACGTGTGTTATTTTCCTAGGAATATATGGTCTTATACGTATAATGCTCTAAAAAATCCCACTATTTAGTGCAGATGGTATCCTTACAGCAGTCTGATTTAGGAGCCACATTGAGTTTTAAAAGTATGTAGATTGAAGAGAAATACTTAGATGAACTCAACACCACCATTGCCATAGACTAAACCAGGAACCTTAAACTCACAATGATTACAAACAATTCTATGGAAATATATTGTCTCACATTATGTATGTTATTGCTCCTAAATTGCATTGTCTGATCCCATAGGAAAGAGAATTTTATGTACTTTTGGAGGAATGTTGTACAGTTGCAAAAGGGCAAGGAGCCAATAATGAAAAACGTCATGTCTCTGAATTTCAATTCCCTAAGGGCGATGGAAGGAGGGGTTGAGGAGAGAGTTTAGAGGTGAAAAATATACCACTGTAAGTGGTATTTGAGATAGGAGGTACTTGCTCAATCCTGTCATCAAATAGCTTTCCTTAGAAAGTACAAATTAGTCTGAATAGTCAACACATTTCCAACAATTGTTTCATGAAGGCTGAAAGGACTACAAAACGGAAGGAGATTTTTGAGACTCCAATCAGTAAAGTGTTCAAAGGGCAAGGATTTGCTATTGAAACTCATAGAAGAATTCCTTAAGTGTTCTTCGTTGTTTACCAGTTGTCATCAAGCCCACGAGTTTTTGTTGTTGTCTTGTTTAATATTTAGCTGAAGCAGTGCTTTGTCTCAGGATGTTTTTCTTTTCCAGAAAAGTTGCCTGATGATGTCTATTTTGATCTGTGAATTATGCACTTAGGCACTTTGTAAGAAAAAGAAGATGGAACTAAAAATATAATTTTTAGAATGTAATGTTTTCGCAATGATGTGTAAACCAGTTTATTTTTCTGTATCAAAAATTCATATAAGTTTTGAAATAAAGGTTAAAACTAACCAGCATAATAAGGGAGTTTATTTTGTTAAACCACCCATTAGGCCAAGTATATCAAATTACTTAAACATTTTCAAAACGTTCTTATTTTTATGTATGATTCAGAAAAGAATACATTTACTGATTCACTGTGTAAAAGCAAGAAACTGTGAGAATGAGTGTGTGGGTAGAGCGTTCTTATGCTCTTTTCAATATCAAATTTTAAAAAATGTGATTTAACTTTTAATCATTTAATGTAGAGCTTTATTACAGCAGATGTATGTATTAGATCTACATAGCATTTTGTGTGATGAATACAAACTCCTCCAGAACTTAAACAATTTTAGAAAGATGTAAATATACCAATGGGGAAGCTAAATATACAAATTAGCATGGTAAAGCTAAAGGTTTCGTGTGTGTGTGTGTGTGTGTGTGTGTGTGTGTGTGTGTATACGTGTGCATGCCTAGATGCAGTGTTGTTTTGGAGAGGTGCCACATCACTTCTGAAAGAGAAATTCTAAATCATAGCTAAGTTCTCCAACAAAATAGAAGTAGGTGTAATACAGTAGTGCTCAATCTAAGGAAGTATACATTTGAATCCTAAGCAGTATTTTATGCTCCATAAGAATCATTTGATTTTTCCCATTCAGACTTTATGTGCCACCAGGCTAATATAATTAGCAGCCATGTTAATGCATATGCAGAACAAAAAACAAAGGACGAAGAAAATCATGTTGGTTTGATAGGGTGAAATGATCACACATGAAAGGACCTCAGAGATTGTTGGTAATTGTTGCTTCTTAGAAATATAGTATTTAATCTTAAATAAAATAATTCTTTTGCAAATTAATAGTTGCAAAGCACTGTACTAAAAAATATGTGAGTGTAATGTTTTCCTTTTGCCCTTGATAGGGTTTTAAAAACTTTTTGTATCTTTGAGCTATTATAAGTAAAGATGGTTTTACAAATAAGTTAGATTTCCAGACTAAGTTATGACTCATGTACCATTGACTGGCACAAAAGTTCATCCAGTTGTTTACTTCTGAAGTGTTTAGCATGTGTTCTTGTAACATTTGGGATTTTTTTTTGTAGTTGTACAGAAATATCTTAGATTTATTAAAATTAATTGAAGCCAAAGATAGTCTAAGATAATAAACTTTATTGTTTCTTTATAAAGTAACTTTATTAAGGTTCTGAAAACATTAATCTCCAATCCTGCAAGCAGAGTATTTGTATTTTAATTAAATTTAAAGGAATATTTACACCTTCATCAATTTGCAACTAATCTTGTAGGAGGGGAGGAGGTAGCTTTTGGTGTTGTGGAGATGGGAACATCATGCATCAGGTTATTTCAGAGCAGACACAGTGTTTTGACCATTTAGCAAGTGAAGGACAGAGGCAAAGACTCCAGAGAAATTTACCTGTCAGGATTCTGTATCTTTGCTTTTAATGATGTCTAATGTGCATGTAATTTAATGTTTGGCAAAGTACAAGGGCAGATAAACATATATTGTTTAAATAAATCAGGACTTCAGTTTATAAAACAAGAATTTAGAATTACATACCTCCGAGGTTCAATACAGAACTTCAGTTTAATTAAAACATATCTGTCCATATATATCATAATTTAAAATCTTTGAGCTGTATGATTATGCCAAATTCATATTTTAGAGTGATTCCTATGAAAAGGGGTGTGATCTCTGGCAATGGATTTGCTCCATGTGCAGGATCCAGAGCTAAAGCTCATAATCTCAAGAAAGTAATTTTCTTTTTACTTATCATTGCTGTCCTCGATGCTCAATAACTGAAGATTTCCAACAGTAACAAAAATCATCACTGTTATTTGCAGTGGTGAATATAGTTGTATAGGATGAGAACGACTTAACTTCCTCTTTACAACTTTCAGCAGCTTGTGAAAGAGTTTTGTTTTGTTTTGTTTTGTTTTTTCAATGTTTGTTTGAATCAAAGAATACTTTATATAAAGGTTGTAAATATTACTCTGATATTTCTC